AGTATCGCCAATGATAGCGACATTGACGTTGTAAGCGTAGTCCATGCAGCCCTAATAGTAAGACAAATGTTCGTCCCTCACGTCTTCCAATATGTCCCAATGAACCTTATACCTACCTACTACGTGTACTCTTATGTATGCGTACTAGTGTGTACTCTAACACCAACGCTGAGAATAGCCGCAATTGATGGTAATAAAAATATTGAAAAAAATCAAACTATACAAAAGCACGTTTCTAATTCATTATTAGAACGTTAAAACTGTAATAAAGCTTGAAGTATTCCCTTACGTTATGGACAGTGACACATTACAACAAATAACGTCCAATAGTACAAGTCTGTTTTGATTCAAAATCAAAACTCTTTTTTTTTAATCGGTTTGATCTTTTAAGCGGTTTCAAAACAAATTATTTGATACATGAAATAACAAATTCACCTTTGATTTTGTAGTAAATTCGATAACATAAAGAGGCTTTGTAATGTGTAACAATACACATCCTCGGTGAATAAAAAAATCCATTCGATATTCCTACTTCTACATTATTTTATCATCTAACTGATTAAGTCAGCCAAGTTGTCTGATTTATAAAACAATAGTCGAAATATTTAGAAAACTAATTTGTTTATAAACAGGAATGCAATATAGAAATTCATTATAATAGTTATCGAAGATTAATAAATCGGCAGCATAAAATGGCCTTCGTCTGTGTTTTCTTTTACATTAAAACAACATTCTGACTAAAGAGAAAGTAACAAACTATTCTGTTGTCATGGTACAATGTAACAGCATTGTACAACAGTATTGCTTGATTTTCTGTTAGTTCGCTTTCAATAAATATATTTGACCTCCAAATAAAACTTTAAATGATAACGTTGTTTTTTTCTGGGTACTCCGGTCTACTCCCACATTAAGACCCCCTGCACGCTACCACCCAGACCGTTAAAAATGATTTTGAGTGGCTATCATAAGTGTGTATCTTACGTTCATCGTTCAAGATAAAAGGCTGTAAACTCTGCTGGTTGATTTCTTACTCCCCGAGGTTTGTCGTAACCTTGATGGCCACATTTATACCGTTTGAGTGATGACACAATTCATAATATAAACACTTTACTTCTTATTGTTATTATGGAATTAACCATTACTCGTATAGTTGAAATTTATAGAAATAAGGGAGTATGGGCATCTCCACTTCACTTCAATAGTAGATAAGACAAATTTTGATTCCATCTTTTCGGTCACTAGCATCACAGAAGAGTCCTATAGGGAAAACAGCTGTATGGAGCAGTGTTATTCTTGTTTTTCCTTATTTGTCTATTACAAAATTGTATATGTGCTATCACATGTGTGTGTGTGTTACTTTTCTTTTTTTTTTAATATTAAACAATAAACTTAATATGGATTGAATAACCAACCATCACATACAGACTTCCAAATTCTCTCGCTTGCTTTGGAACATAGGTAATACTAACTTATATAGTATTATTGGGAGAGGAGATAACTCTGTTGGGAAATATAAATCAGACAGGTTAAATCTTGATCCAAGTTTCCATCTAAATAGACTTGATTAAAAAAACGGGTTAGAAAATACCGTTTCTAATCAACCAGCATCTGAGAAGGCATCCAATAATACCGATTTTGACGAAGCTATCTAATAGATTTGATTGGAATCTTCATCTTAAAAAGTCCCGTCCTCATTTTACCCTGGCTGTTGTGGTTCTCTAGGCACCCGCCTCATATGATCCCAGCTGTTGTGTCTCCCTAGGTACCCGTCCTCATATGACCCTGGCTGTTGTGTTTCCCTAGGCACCCGTCCTCATATTACCCTGGCTGTTGTGTCTCCCTCGGCAACCGTCCTCATATGACCCTGGCTGTTGTGTCTCCCTAGGCACCCGTTCCTATATGACCCTGGCTGTTGTGTCTCCCCATGCATCCGTCCTCATATGACCCTGGTTGTTGTGGCTCACTAGGCACCCGTCCTCATATATGTTAAACCTGATAAGACCATGTTAGCTATTAATCTACGTGTACCCAATCAAAGAGTTACCATTAACTCAAACCATTAAACGATGACTGATAAATCACACAGAAAGTATAGCAAAGATATCATCAACAATCTAAGGCTTAATTAAAAAATACTACGACTTCTGGATCGAAATTTGAATTATTTGAAATCAAATCAGTTTTCTGGTCTTGGAAGCTTCAGAAAAACCGTTATTAATACTACTATCATCACTTATTGACAAATCCATTCCCCTCGTGGAAAACGGTGCCGTATGACGAGGTCGGTTAAGAATCGTGCAGTAAGGCTGACTGTTCTGTCGTTATCTAAGGTCATCTCAATCACACATCCCAATGATAGGGATGCATCTTTTAATTATTAGTTCAAATTCATATCTTTCACTACTAGGACCGCAGGTGATTAACCCCTAACTGTCCCCTAACATTAGTATAACCTCTCAACGATCGACTTAACTTGACAAAATATTATTGACCCTTTTCACCTATTAAATGTTAATAAACATTCAGACAATCACACACACACACACACCTACACACACTCCCACACACACACACAAAAAAAGACACACAAAAAAGAAAAAAAGGAAAAAAGGGAAAAGCAACAAAAATAGATAAATACTTAAACAAAGTTTGCAAATAGAAATAAAAATGGGTGTCATGGTCTCTTTTTACCCCACTCTATCATATATTGAACATATGGGTTTTCTTACTAATTCTTCAGGAAGTGTTCATGGTACACCTGTGGTAAAGCGAAAATGGGAGAAATGGCCCACCCAACTTTCCTTTTTAACTATGGACCAATATCAATTTTTCCTATCAATCGCAAAAACATTACATATTCGTTTCAAATATATTAATGATTATCTCTCAACATGTAATATATTATCACCAAGAATCAGCCATGCTTTGTGTGTGATGAATTCACCGTTTACAAACTATTAATGAAGCACCTGGGTGTGGAATCCATACTTGTTTTCTATATCAGCAAGCCGTTGAAGAGTTTGACACGATAGGCTGAACTTAAAAATACAGGATAGACACAAAATCTACTGAGTTTATGTTAAACTACATTTATACACCAACATTTCCAATGCGAAAATCGTAAGACTGGCTGGCTTTGTTACACGCTGTAAAAGAACACATTTGCATATTACCATTCTAAAGGGGGTTTTTTTAACAAGAAATGCCCTTTTTACGCATATGACTTCCTTCAGGCATACAGCAATAAGCATATGACTTCCTTCAGGCATACAGCAATAAGCACTAAAACAATAAGTTCGTCACACTAGGCTAGACTTGATTTGGCAATACTACAAGTTATACAGCAAATATATCAAAACTGATCATTACAACTTGTCTGTTGTCTACAATGTCCTTTATCTGAGCCCTAGAAGGGAGTCAAATTCCACGAATAAATCGTACTGACTGTCTTTCAATATAAAGATGACGGAAAAGTGAACATAACTCAATCCTAATTAAGGAATTATACAGGTAGTGTTTGAACTCGGATCTAGTTGATCCCCTCCTGAACAAAAGCCCTGCCCTGCCTGTGTGGTTTTCCTGTGAAGGATTGTGATATCATCTTCTTCCACTATTGTCTCTACGATAATAAGAGACAATTTCTCCTGAACATTTGTTCTGCTTAGAGTGGTTCTATTCCACTTAATGTTCAGACTTTTCTGTGTGGACGTCGTAGACTTGGTGTAAACATGAATGTATCCGAGTTGATTTGGAGATTCTTTATATAGACATTTGCATTTGATATTCATACAATTATTGTCGAGCGCCTTGCTCTGCTTGTCAATTGTCTGTAATGGTCCCCGTGCAGAAAAGTTTGACAGTATGGAAAATTTGACTTGACTAGCCACAGGTTCTTGTATGACTAATGACTGATATTTATAGCAACCCTCATATTGTTAAAACAATTTGATAGCCACTGTTAGTCATCTTATCTACAAACTATCTTAAATACTGTCATATCAATTTTGAATTCTCGTGATCATATATCTTTACTTTCAATTTTAATTGTATCCACTGTTAACCATTCTAAGGAGAGGATTCCATAGGCTTTCCTGTTGTCCAATCCCTAATGTGTATAATACCTATACAAAACAAATACTAAGAAATGAAAGAAATATAGACAGGTGGCTGCAATACCATAGATAATTGGGCACTGTTGATAGGTTTTATATACAGATGGTTGGTAATGTGGTTGCTTTTAACCGACGTATACTGTGTGTAATACTATATAAAACTTAACCAATTTTGATGATGACTGTCAATCCAACTAAAGAATTAGAAGGTTTCATGAACAGTTGAATGTACATTAGGAGTCGAACTCACAAACAGAATGTTCTCATTTATAAATTCATTTATTCTCATTCATTAACTAACTTGATTTCATATGGCAACTGTAACATCCATCCCTAAACCCACATGTTCCAAATCAATGTTAACAGATTACTTCAAAACGTATATTTTGGCATTAGTTGTGGGAACGCGTGCATATGTATGAGTGTAACTTGGTCTTGTGTTAATTAATGAGGATGAAAGAGAGCACGCTGATATGTAACGCGATTTCTACCTGATTCTGACAACGTTAACTGGTAGCCTTGACGCGTCTTTAATCATGTTTCCGCCTTGCCTCTCTCTATGATTGATCAATATAACAATTGTAATATCATGTGCAAGTAGAACACGCCGTAGTGCAGTGCATGTTAATCCGTTATCCACGCGCTAATCTCGTGCCGTACTGCCTTAACTCTAAGGCTCGGTATCATTGATCCCCCTTCCCTTCTGTCAACGCCACACAGGCATAGGTGTAGCACAGGTTGGATTTGCCCATGGAAAACGCTAGATTTTAATATTCATAATCTAAAACAAGTATTTTCATTGGTTCATTTCTGATTGTAAAGTGGCCCCGTACTGGTACGGTGAGAGAAGAAGGGGTGTGCTATGGCGAACCATATATAACGATATCTGCCCACGTGCGGGGAGGGAGACAAACCACACCGGTTCTTCTGTCATCTCGGGGAATACACGTAACAGGTTCAGACGTCATGGCAACTACATCCTATATATATTACCGAGTCTGACGATACTAAGGACAAGTTTTGATACTTAAGGAGAGTCACATTCATCAACGTCTCCGGCTCCTCCGCCCTACCGGACCCTTTTATACACGCAAAATTGAAACTTTTATAGATTTTATTTTTTTCAATTTTCAAACAAGTGTATAAAGTGCTAAGGATCTGGTGCTTTGATAACATTATGGTGAATCTGGACTCGATAACGATTGTTGGGCTTCTCGTCGTGGCTGTTTTCGGAGTTGAAGCTTTTACAGAAAATTCTCTTTGGAGCCAATCGGTAAGTATTTGTTTCACCTAAATAAATCCATGAGATGAACAATCACATGTGTCTCTAATTTGGATCTTTAGATGATTGATCGATCTTGTTTTTGCCAAAACATAATCTGATCCTTTATCGAACAAGAATGTATTAACAAAATGTAGGAAATCTGTTATTAAAACTAGTTCACTGTCGGCTTGTGGAGAAAAACAAGAATTTATTTTATCTCAACAATAATCAGAAAAAGTGTTTTTTCTTGAAATGTGACTTGTTTTAGTAAATTAATGTAAACAGATATAGACTTCTTGATGGTCATTATGCTGTTCTTAATTAAATAGACTTCCTCTGCTATATTTCTATCAAGAATTAAAACAATAAATATAATGCGCATACAAATTTCCTAATCAATGAACTAAGGTAAACAGATATAAACATCTCGATAGCCATAATGCTGCTCTTATTTAAATAGACTTCCTTTTCAACTATTGTTTAAGTGTCTGTCGTCTATTGACGTATCGAGAATAAGGAAAAAGTATGATGCTTATAAAAATGTCGTAATCAATGATGTCATAAGCGTTTCCAACGTAAAAGGACAAAATGTAATGGTAGGTTCTATTACACAGAAAATAAAGGTCCGGTTTCTTCTCCATTTATTTTTGTCCTTTAAGTGCATATTTAAACATAAAGTGTACCGAACGTACTATCTGCTCAAACAAAATCGTATAACTAGCTCCTGGCGAGATATCATCAAATCGGATTTAACGGCGTCCAAAAATAGTGATCTACAAGGATTGTAATTAAAACTCGACCGCTTTTACGTTCTTTAAAAGCATGTAATTTTGGCATAGAATTGGTGGAGTACAATGTTCGTTTTCGTGTAACGTATCATGTTTGATCGTTTGGGTTACGACTTAATTGTCGTGTAGTCTGCTTGCGTAGGAGTTATTCCGAAACTTTGTCCAACATTCGCTTGATAGAAATATTTGTCGGGTCGCGTTCCAGTTTGTTATGATGTGGAACAGATATTTGCATACTGTAAAGCATTGATGTGTTGCGAGATTTGTGTGGCTGTATTATTTCGCACAATTTAAAGATCGCGAATTTAAACATCACGAAAATATATGAGACACAGTATATAAACGGTAAGTTTGATAACTAAGGGAAACAAAATGCTTGGTTTTTAAAAGAATTCGCGGATCCAAGTATTTTCGAAAGATTAATCACGAAAGTATTACTCCTGAAAAATCCAGAAAATTACTCTATCAAAGGTCCAAAGATACATTCTAAAAGAATTTCTTTTTCATCACTGTAACAGACATGGCAGATATTCAACAGCTCGGTCGATTTTCTTATTTTACATTTTTTCGCTGCGTTTTACTGATTGATCCGGCTCATTTAGACTAAAGCCTTTTTCTTGTAAGCTAGAAAATTTAAATCATACGTAATATCCATAAAGAAGAAAACAGAACTACACAAGAAATCCATTTTTAATTTGCATTTATAGTCTTTTTATCCAATGCAGTCAGTTTCAATGGAGCCAATCAAACAAATGTCTCGACTTCTCTGTATATATCTTAACAAATCCTCTTCTATATAAAAAAATAATCTTTCCAAAATTAAATAATCCCAAATGTACCAAAATATGGTGCTATATTAGGGCGTAAGACATGCTTGAGCACGTGACGACAGGACTTTGTCTGTGCATGAACGAACAGACATGTCCGCATCTCACCACAAGAATGGGGAATAGTTGATACTAATTGTACATTTTACGAAGACAAGTCTGGACGCTGTTTCCAATATTTTTATACAGGGATGGGCCGTTGCTGACGTTATATAGGATAGTATTGCCACTTATTTGTAAACCAGTCGGTTTTTATTTTCTAAATATAGCTATTGACATTACAGCATAGCCATTTGCAACTTTTGATGAGATTAATTTACGAAATTCATTTCATTTACATGCAGTGTATTATATTCAACTGTTATCTTGTTTATTGAACATCCCGAGTTTTCAACCAGCGAAAGCTTATGATATTGTTGACGAGGAAATTGATCAGGACATACCACAAGATTAACAGAGGATGCATATATGCCTCTACTACGCCATGCCTTTAAACAGGATGACAGGAAAACATCTGTAATTTTATTTGTTGAAATTTTATATCATCTTCCTGAGTGCCGAGTTAGTCAACGAAAGAAACTTCCTCAGACAAGCTCTGACAAAACTGATTATCGTAGAGAGTGTGATTACCCAGTGAAATCTGATCCTCTGTCTATCGTGCAGGTTGCTGCCAGCAGGCGGAAATACGGAGTACTTTCTAACACGAAAGACGGTAACGCAATCTATATTTCGGAATGAAGAGTAAATAGAATAAAAAAAACGACTGGCATTGGGTTAGAACAATTCAATTCTCTTCACTTTATGTCTGGTCGTAGATGTTGATTTATTACGTCGGAGTTTTAAGATACAGTGACAAATTTAAAAATATTTATATACCCTTTTCTAACGCATAAAATCTCCAATTTTGAACATTGGAAAGAAAATAAAGTCATCTCTCAATCTGTAATTTTAACCCATGACATAAAGCTTAATCAAAACCCTTTCTTTCCTATTTAAAATTCAGCGTATAGTTATGTTGTCTGTACACTTTTTCATGAAATGAATTCATCACTATAAAAGGGATATTGTTTCAGTTATAAATGACCGAATTATCGGGAATGCGAAATTGGAACATAACTTATAGTTACGAAGAATGCAAGATTTACAAGGATTACAAGGTCATATTGACGAGAAATAGAAACCTGCGAGATTTTTTCAAATTACATGTATATAACAATAGTTTATAGTGTAATAGGCTTTAATAGGATACTAGTGGATACATGCATTTCTGCCTCTATATCCACATCAATGTAATATATACAATTACATGTATGCATTATATTTATGAAATAACCACTGCTAACATCGCTCTACAATTGTTAGATTGATTAGTAAACTCATCGGACTAGCCTTATACATACCATGAACCTGTCTGAACCGAAGTTCTATATACAGTGTGATAGATAAGGTTATTATTATGCTGGTTCCATTTTCATGAAGATAGTCTGGTTTATAAAGGTAACACGTTTGACTTATCTGAATGTCATTGTGTACAGGTTTTCTTATTACAAAGGGTCTGATGAAATAAGTTAGTTGTGTTATAGTCGGAGATCTGGTTCTTGTAAACATAAACGTAACTGTAACATATAATTGGTGTTCTGGTTCATACATGTTGCCACATTAGACAGGATCCGGTTTAAACAAATTAATTGCAGGACATGGTAAGAGTTCTACTTTATACAGGTTTCAAGATTAATGATCATATTTACAATGAATCATCGGGAAATAAATTATATGAACTTGTAAAGCATCGTATATACACATTTACATCAATATTATATCGGTCCGTGTCATATCAAAGTATTAAATATTGGTCTCATATAAAATAAAACATCAGATATTTACAAGGTTAATGCAGTGCAAACCATGAATAAATTGTCTTAAATCACGTAGGGGTGACTATATAAATGTCTAGTTCTCAAATATACACCTAACCACAAATGCATTGTCTTTAATCGCGTAGTGATGACCATATTTAGACCTGCTTCACTAATATACACCAAGCCATAATTTTTTTAAATTGCAGGATGATGTCTTTATCAAAGATCTTGATCACAAATTTACGACCTGTTCGCTAATATACTGTACGGAGCTTTCAGTGTATACAAACTGATAGCTCAAAAGGTTTCAACTCCATTTTTTTTATAATATTAGATATCTGCAAACAGTGTGAACAAATTATAAACCATTTAAAAACGAACTAGTTTCAGTAAATATATTCCAAAAATCAGACACAGCATTGATGACCTCATACACAAGTGAGGTAATGATTTAGGTTTATATGTATATTGTTATTTCAAATTTACAGACCTTGCTAAACAAGCCCTATTTAACTTTCAATTTTCATTTTCAAAAAGTTTTCAGCGTCCATATTTTTGACTTTAAAGTAAGGAATAGTGAAAATGACATTCCTGAAAATATCAGATCATTCAGTTGCCTTCAACATATGTAATACGCTGCTGGCAGACGAAAAGGCATCATACAAATGGTTTTGAATTTTGTAAAAATCTGGAAACCATTTATATGAGTATTTTAAGATTTTTTATCCACATGGATCCTGTTCCTTAATTTTCTCGTCATCAATAAACTTCGTTTTTTTTCTTTTCTATTTGGTCAGTCAGGAAATTGACCAAACTAACGTACATTATATTATGTAAGGTGGCATTATTCTATGATACTTTTTTATGTAATTAATGACTCTTATAGACTAAGTTGGTTAAGATTATCTACACAGTACCTACGAACAGGCTTTTTTAATAGCACACCTACGGGATTTCTTTTCAGCAGAATCCCCAAGAGTCGTACTAATTGAAATCTGTTTCACGCCTTTTAAACCGACTCTGTTTAAAGCCGCGGTCACATCTGACGGTCACGCACGTAGTTGACTGAAGTGGGGGATGGTCGTAATTGAATGTAGTAGACCGTAGCTGACCTTAATTAAACGCATTAAACGTGGTTAGACGTAGTTCAACGTAGTTTAAAATTCACAAAACCGTGGTTAGCCAAAACATTTTCAACATGTTCAAATATCTCTACGGAGAGTTTGGATGCCAAGACCTTATTGTGACCGTAATTTGAACGTAGTTGACCCCAATTGACAGTTATTGACCCTACTTGACCGTAGGTTTTAACGTAGTTGACCGTAGTAATATGGCACTACGGTTAACACTACGGTCAGGTAGGGTAAAACATATGTACATGTACTAGGGTTGGACTACGTAGGAAGTACGTTCACAGTACAGTTAAGTACATTAAAGTACAGTTAACTAGGGTAAACTATGGTGAAGTAGAGTAATGTTGAATTCAGGAGTTAGGGTTAGGGTTAGGGTTAGGGAACTACGTCTACGTTTGATAC